GTCCCTTGGTGGGGTGAAGGGCTGTGGTATTTTTATGGTGGTTACCAGGAAGCTGGGTGGAGGATGCCTGGTGTCAGGGTCAGACATTGAGAGGCAGAGGATCAGAGAGGCCTGAGCTTGTTGGGGTGGATACATAGGAAGAAACCCGAGGAGAGCCAGAGGAATGTGGCTAGGGACACCTGCCCTGGGCTGCTCAGTGCCAGCCTGAGGTGGCCTGTGAAGCGTGGGCACCAGCCTGGTCCTCATCCAGGTCAGCTGTCCACTGGCGCCATCTCATGGCTACAGGCTCTCATTACAGGAAAAACTCCGATCCCTGGAGGAGCCAAAACCATCTAGAGGTCTGACCCAAGCCTTGCCCCATATTCCTTTACACCTTCAAAGTTGCTCAGTCTTGGAACTGACCCTGGTGCCATTGGAGACTGTCCTGGGAACACCAAAAGAAGCTAGCCACTGGGAAGAAGGCCAGGTCACCGTACCTGCTCGGAGCTCCCGGCACACGCCCGAATGGACTGTAGCTGCCCAGTTTGTACACAGCTGGCCAAGTGTCTACCTGCATTTCTATCAGGGCCTCACTCTGGTTGAAAGTTTCATCCCCCTCTCGGTTCCCCAGTCCTGTAAAGCGGCTTGGGGCAAGCTCAGTGTACGGATGGCCTCTACATCCTAGAAGCCTCCTCTACGAGTGACAGAGTGAAAAGAATCCTGTCTATGATATTTCAACACGCAGGTGGCAGCTGTGACATCCCAGCCAGCAGCTAAGAGAGGCAGATGGGAGTGGGAGCAGAGCTTACCAGCTTGGCATTCTCTCGACGCCCTACCCCATCCACCCTCCTCAGGGGCTCCCCACCAAAGCCCATCTCCTTCCCCTCCGAATGCTGCCTCCACCCTGGGGAACACCTCTCATCCTCTGGTTCTTCCAACATCTACCAAGCCCCATTTCTGTGACCACCACCACACCCACCCTCATGAGCCTGGTTTTTTGTGTCAAAGGGACAGTGACTGCTAATTGGGGAATGCTGGGGGAGCTGATGGCATACAGCGGGTGCTTAATAAAGGCTTGTGCTGACAAGGACATGTGGGGATGAAAGAGTGAGAAGTAGCTAGTTAAGTGGGTACCTAAGAGGATTGTCACCTCAAGGGAGGCGCCGCTGGGCATGTCAGTCGATGGTCTACCCAATGAGTGGAGGATGGGGAGGATGGGATCCGAGAAATGGATGGATTCTGGGTGGCTCAGGTGTGACAGCTAAGGGAAGGGTTGGGAGCTGTGGTAACCCACCTGCCATGGAAAATGCTGAGGAGATCTGTGTGGAAAGTGGTCTGCTCGCCCCCCATCCCTCTCTCTGTCCCCTCCTCCCACAGCTGGAGAGGGAGTTCTGGGAAGGATGCCTTTTGTTCAGCTCTGTGCTCTTTCAGGATGTTCCCACCAGGCCAAGGTGTGGGGGGATGGGGGTGGCAGGGAGGAGTCCCCTACGCCCCCACCAAGGACTATTTCAGTCAGAGCCAGAAGGGTCAGGAAGCAGAGGAAGCTGTCCAAAGCCACGCCAGAGATGTGACAGTGTGGCTGAGGACATGGGCAGTTCTGCGTCTGAGTGTCCTTTGCCCAAACACGCTTTGTACCATCAACCCATGTCAGTGATTGGACGCTGCATGTGAGTGTCTGGGTCTTGAGAAAATGGGCCAATGTGGGGTGGGATAGGGGTGGATGGACAAGCTGGGTGGGGACTGTTCAGCCGAGGACTCAAAGGAGGGTAAGATGGGCTCTTGAGCATTGAAGGACTTAGGTTCTGAGCTTAGGGGGGTGCCCCGGTTCTGATCCTTGAGGGGGACTTAGGTTCCGGCTAACAGAGGTGGACGAAGAGCATGTCTGTGAAGAGATCAGCAAAGATGGACAGACCAGAGAGGGTGCTGCGTCTGTTGCCAGCGGCTATGCAGTGTTGGGCACAGTGTGATGAATTTGAGGAAAGACAGGGATGAGGGGAGTGTGGAGAGCACCTGGGGGCTTTCAGACAGTGCCAGCGGGCTGCAGGGGCCTTGGACATCAGGAGAAGGGCTCAGGTGTTTCCCTAGGAGCAGAGGCGCTTCTTAAAAGCTTCCTACTGCAGGCAGCATAGCTGCAGTCCAGAGAGAAGCTGGGGTAAGGGCTGGTCTAGAACTTAGAGTGCAGCCGTGATGACAGATAGGATAGCCAGCATTAGTTGCTGCCCACAGTTGAGGTCAAGGGACCCCTCCCTCTGGTCATCCTCTGAAGGAGTGAGAACACTCAGCCTCCCTTGGTCCTCAGAGACGGAGTGGCTGGGAAGCAGATATGCCTGAGGTCTACTCATAGGCCCTTTTCTGTGGTTCTTGCTCCTTCCAAAGGAGGATAAAATCTTGGAAGGACCAGTCTCCCCAGAGTGCTGGGTAAAGAAACCACTGGAGTTTTGCCAAACACTCTCTGGGGCTGTGGTCAGAAAGCAATAGGCCTCCCTAAGGAAGGATAGGGACATGGTTGCTTCCACCTATGCCTGCCCCATCCTGTCCCCACTTGGGGTGTTCTTCCCCCCCCCCATCTACTGATGAAAACCCCTCAGCCACCAGGATCATCACTCTCCTGGGAAAGGTCTTTTTACTCACTTCTCTACTGACATTTAGTTAGATATCTTGTGTGAGTGCACGGTTTGCCATGATGTACCTATGGAGGTCAGAGGACAGCTTGCTGTGGAGGGGTCAGTTCTCTCCTAGGGCTTGAACTCGGGCTGTGAGCTCTAAGAGCAGACACTGGCCCACTCTGGTCTCTCCCTCAGACTAGCACACCGTAGCTGTGCCTGCAGTGCTGTCCCTGCCTGCATGCCAGGCCTCTGTGATCCAAACAGGACGTTAGTGAACTCCGGGCAGGTAAAAGCAAGAGCATGGTTGCGCAAAAGAAGAACCCTGAGGAACGAAGGCGATTCTGGCTGAGCCAGCCTGTCCGGACCGTGACTTCACAGTCACTCTGACTTTCCACTGTCCTCCTTACGTGCAGATGTCTCAGCTGAGCCTCAGAACTAGAGCATGGACTGAAAGCCTGGTTTCTGCTAATAATCAAAGGCAATGAGGGAGGTGGGGTGCGGGCCAGGGAATCTAAGCACTACTATTTTGCCCAGAATTTTTAAAAAATAATTTGTTAATATCAAATTAGAAATTAGAAAAAACAATTTGACTCTATACAATTTTTTGTTGTTGTTTTTGTTTTTGAGACAGGTTTTCTCTGCGTAGACCAAGCTGGCCTCAAACTCACAGAGATCCACCTGCCTCTACCTCCCTGAGTGCTGGGATTACAAGTATGAGCAATGGCGCCCAGCTCTATACAGTGTTTTAAAATACTGTCATCTTCCTTAGCAGGCCCGTTCACAGTAGCAGTTAGTACAGCTGGGAAGGTGACACATTCCTGTAATCCCAGCTGCTTGGGACCCAGACACAGGAAGATCACAATTCAAGGCCTGCCTGTGTCACAGAGTGAGGTCAAGGTCAGCCTGAGAAACTCAGTGGGGTGGGTGGGAGCTGGCAAGATGGCTCAGTGGATAAAGGTACCTACTGCTCAGACCTGGTGACCTGAGTTCAGTGCTCAGAGCCCATGTGAAGGTGGAAGGAGAGAGCGACTCCACAGAGCCCACCCCCTCATGCATCCTGCGGCACGCGTGTGATTGCACACACACACAGTATGTTTTTAAGGCTGGAGACATGGTTCAGTGGTAGAGCGCTCACCTAACACATGGGAAGCCCTGGACCCAACCCCTATTGTCAGTCCCTAAAACAAACAAACAAACAAACAAACAAACAAAGAAGGTATGCCCTGGGGCTGAGCCTGGTACTCGCTCATCCCAGGCCAAATGTCAGCTTATCCCTTTACAAGTGGGGAAACTGAGGCACTAATGCTAAGTAATATGCCCAAGACCACGCGTCTCACACATGGCAGAGCTAGGATTTGAACCTGAGCGTCAGAACCAAAGTCCAGCTCTATGACTCTCCACATGTTTGCAAGGCTTCCTATTTTCCCTGGCCTCAGCTTTTCTGAAACAGAAAAGGGAGGAGGCTGTCAAGAAGGCAGCTCCCTAGATGCACTGGACCCAAGCTGTAAATTCTCTCGAGACATCGGCAATACAAAAAAGCCATCACTCAGAAGTATTTGGAGGTCTGGTGCTGCCAAGCCCTCCGAAGCCAGCCCGGACTGTCGGGAGACGGGGCATCATATAGGATGCAAGGACACAACACTTATTGAGCGCCTCCTGTATTCCAGATGCATGCACATTACTGTCTAGAAAACGAGTCTGAGAAGACACGTGACATGGTCAGGGTCGAATAGTGTGGCAGCAGAGAAGGCACCAGAACCCAGCTCTGTCTAGCTCCAGAGTTACCCTTGTAACCTGAGTATTCAATGGCTGTGGATGGTGGATTCTGGCTCCGACTGTTTCTAACCCACTGACTCTGACCCTGCCTGCTCCTCACTGTACCTAATTTCCGCCTCTTTAAAGTTTGGCCCTCTTGGTTCCTGATTGGTTTCCCCTTGAGAAACGGAGTTTTACTCCCAAGGCCATCAGGGGTACTTCCTCCTTCTCCTCTTCCTCCTCTTCTTTTTCTCCTTCAGATTTATTTTTATTCTCTTCTGATTCTGTGTTTTGCCTGCTTGTATGTCCATGTGAGTGTGTTGATCTCGTGGAACCGGAGTTACAGGCAGTTGTGAGCTGCCATGTAGGTGCTGGGAATTGAACCTGGTTCCTCTAGAAGAGCAGCCAGTGCTCTTAACCACTCAGCCATCTGCATGCGTGCTTGTGCGTGTCCATATGTGTGCAGATGCCCACAGACACCAGAGGCATCGGATCCTCTGAAGCTAGAGTTTCAGGCAGTTGGTCAGGGTCAGGGTTAGGAGGAGTTGTGAGCCTCCCTCCTTGGGTACAGGAGCAGTAGCTGAGTGACTTGAGCAGCTCCACAGAACTCAACCCCACCCCCACCTCCACCCCCTCACGGTCACCTCTCTTGTTTTGCAGATAACTGTGACTGAAAGACCAATGGCTTTGGACGCAGGAATGCAGGCTGAAGACAGCGGCACTTCCCTCAGCGAGCTCTGGCTGTGCGCCCTGTCCTCGGGAGTCAACTAGGAGTCCCCAGAGCTCTCTGTCCTGGACCCAAGCTGCCGTGAAGACACAGAGGAAACCCGGTACTGAAGACACAGTACCAAACCCAGCACTTCTTCATAAAAAGTCTTCCAGCTGCATGAGACAGGTACACACCCCATTACTGCATTCCTACCCCTCAGAGGGCGCAGGAGAAGCCCCGTGCGCTTCTAACCTGATGACAGCACCCCCTTCCTGCTCAGATGGAGAGTCACAAGGTAAATCCCTACCCGAGATCAGGCAGGCAGGGAGTAACTATGTGACCCGAAGCCCATCACTCACTCTCCTCGAAGAGACATCTGTCTAGGGTTCTGAGGATTGAACAGAAGTTCATGGGGGAAAGCTGGGAGGAAATAAATAGCAGAGAAAGAAATTGACGCCGTTAATCCCAGCACTTGGGAGGCAGAGGCCAGGCCAGTCTGGTCTACACAGTGAGTTCCAGAACAACTGGGGCTACACAGTGAGACCCTGTCTCAAAAACCAAAAAGAAAAAAAAAAAAATCACTTGGAGTTCTCCCAGGCTTGAGCTTTACTGGAGTATACATTTCTATGATAGAAGATTTGTGCAGACCTTTACGGGGTGATGAGACTAAGAGACGGCCAAGTTAAGGCCTTGTTTTGCTCACGCCAGTAGATCAGCACACAGGGCCCACTGAGGCGCCAGTGAGTCGCCACTGACACGGCGTGCGTTGCTTTCCCAGGTCCTCGGAGCCCAGGAAAAGCCGTCACCGCGCGGTTATGGAGCGCGGCAATAGCACCATCCAGGCTCCGGGCTTGCCGCCCACCACGTGCGTCTACCGCGAGGACTTCAAGCGCCTGCTGCTCCCCCCGGCCTACTGCGTGGTGCTGGCGGTCGGCCTGCCGCTGAACGTCTGCGTCATCACGCAGCTCTGCGCCTCCCGCCGGGCCCTGACCCGCTCGGCCGTCTACACCCTGAACCTGGCCCTGGCGGACCTGCTCTACGCCTGCTCGCTGCCCCTGCTGGTCTATAACTACGCCAGAGGGGACCACTGGCCCTTCGGAGACCTCGCCTGCCGCCTGGTGCGCTTCCTCTTCTACGCCAACCTGCACGGCAGCATCCTGTTCCTCACCTGCATTAGCTTCCAGCGCTACCTGGGCATCTGCCACCCCCTGGCCCCCTGGCACAAGCGCGGGGGTCGCCGCGCTGCCTGGGTGGTGTGCGCGGCCGTGTGGCTGGCCGTGACGGCCCAGTGCCTGCCCACGGCGCTCTTCGCCGCCACGGGAATCCAGCGCAACCGCACGGTCTGCTACGACCTGAGCCCGCCCGCCCTGTCGGCCCGCTACCTGCCCTACGGCATGGCGCTCACGGTCATCGGCTTCCTGCTGCCCTTCGCGGCGCTGCTGGCCTGCTACTGCCGCATGGCGCGCCACCTGTGCCGCCGGGACGGCCCGGCAGGACCTGTGGCCCAGGAGCGGCGCAGCAAGGCGGCCCGTATGGCTGTGGTGGTGGCCGCCGTCTTCGCCATCAGCTTCCTGCCTTTCCACATCACCAAGACGGCCTACTTGGCCGTGCGCTCCACGCCGGGCGTCTCCTGCCCTGTGCTGGAGACCTTCGCTGCGGCCTACAAAGGCACTCGGCCCTTCGCCAGCGCCAACAGCGTGCTGGACCCCATCCTCTTCTACTTCACGCAGCAGAAGTTCCGGCGGCAGCCCCACGAGCTCCTGCAGAGGCTCACGGCCAAGTGGCAGCGGCAGAGAGCCTGAGGCCCCCAGGCGGCCCTGAGGCGCTGGCTGCCATGTGTTTGCTAACCGGGCCATGGTGCCTGAAGCTTCCCCCAATTCCAAGCCATGCGGAGAAGCAAACCTCGGCTCAACAGGCCTGGGCCTCAGAGGTTCTACATCAGCCACAGAGCCAAGAGACCTATGTTTCAGGGACTGGTCAGTTCATGCGTGTTATCCCAGAACTCAGGGTGTGGTGACTGAAGGACACAAGTTGCAGGCCAGCCTGGTCTACACGGCGACATCCTGTCTCAGACAATCGAGGGTTGGGACTAGAGCTCCGTAGCACATGCCTGGAGTATGCTAGGCCCTGGATTCAATCCCTAGCACCGCAAAGTCCAACAAAGGTCTCCTCCCTGACCCCTGTTGTGTTTACAAGGTGGAGGGGGCCACTGGTGCCCTCATGACCGTGAAGCAAGGCCCCTTCTGGACAGCAGCAAGCTGGGGAGGCTCACGTTCCCACATTCCCATCCATTTGCCAAGACTTTGTCATAAGGAAGAGAAATACATGTGTTTTTGCGGCTGTTGTTGTTGTGTTTGTTTTTAAGCCATTGCATGTGTACACACACACACACACACACTGCCAAGCCACAAAGAATCCTTTAGTCAGATTCCATCATCCCCTAGGTGGAAACCAGGCAGTGATTTAATTGGGATAGGGGTCAGGATGTAGGCTGGAACCCGATGGGAGCTAAGAACCAGGGGCTGGAGATGCCCAGGAGGCCTCGTAAAGATGGCTGGCCACACAGGGAGGGTAGCCTCAGTGTGGCTGGAGGCTGGGGGGGTGCATACATGTCATATAACAGAAAACCCAGACCACGGCAGGCCTACTCCATCCTGGCTCTCACGGTGCCGCCTAATGTTGAACCCTTACACACTTCCATCACAAGCACGAAAGTTTATCAGTGCTGCCAGTGGCTGAACATCCGTGAAGACAATGGGTCGATAGACGAGAACAGTTCATGTACCAGAATTAATCATACCAACACGCGACACTCAAACCTTAGCAGTGTAATACTGAGGAACACGAAGTCCCTGTAAATTATATGCAGCAATGTCTGTTCTGTGAAGTTATAAAGGACTAAAGCGGGCGTGCTGGCTCGTGGCTCTAACCACAGCATGTGGGAGGCCAACTCAGGCTGCACGGAGAGTTGAAGGTGAGCCTGAACTATGAGGCTTTGTTTCTATGCCTTAATTTTAAATCTTATGTTCTACTTATTGAGTGTGCAGAGGTCAGAGGACAACTTTCAGGGGTTGGTTCTCTTCTGCCATACAGGCCCAGGGATCAAATTCAGGAGGTCAGGCTGGGCAGCACGTACCTTTACCTGCTGACCTCAGGTACTTTCAGTTTTACTTCAAAAAACTAAAACAATCACAGAAGCCTATAATCCTACCTACTTGAGAGACTGAGGAGAAGGGCTGAGTTCAAGGCCTTACTGGGTTAGTTACAGAATGAGTTCAGGGGCAGCTTGAGTAACTTAGGGAAATCCTGTCTCAAAAAAAGGGGGAGATGTGTGTTGGTGGCATAGAACTTGTTTACTGTGTATGAGGTCCAGAGTTCAATCCTAGCAACACACACACACACACACAAAGCATGTACGTGCACACACAGAGAGAGCAACAAAACAAAATGAAACTGGAAAGCATGTAGGAGGGACATAGTGGTGAATTCCCAGCATTCTAGGACGCACAGATAGGCTGTGCGTTTCGGGCCAGCCTGGTCTACAGTGAGTTCCAGGACAGCCAGGTCTGTTACACAGAGACTCTTTGTCTCAAAAAACAAACAACTCAAAGCAAAACAAAACACAGAAACAAATAAAAATCCAAAATATGCCTGTAATGATTCTAAGAAAAGTACATGCTGAGGCAGGAGAGCAGGAAGCTGGGGTCAGCTCGGGCTATCTACATACTAAGACCTTGTCTTGAAACAAAACAAAACAAAAGCAACAACAACAAAACCAACAAAGATGCTAAAATGAAAACAGCGTGAGGACTGTGAGATGCAACAAACTCAAGCAAGCTGGAGAGATGGCTTAGAGTCAGGGACACTTACTGCTCGGTGGAGGACCGAGGCTCGGGTCCCGGTACCCCCACGTGACAGCTCATGCTGAACCCCTCTTCTGTCCTCCTCAGGCAGTGAGTAGGCACACACGGTGCACATATGTACATGCAGGCAAAACACGCACAAAAAAAGAACAATAAATCTTAAAACGAAACAAAAAGGCCAGGCGCAGAGGTGCATGTATGTAATCCCAACTCCTGGGAGGAAGGGCATACCCAGTTACCTTCAGCTGAGGCTGGGCTGGGTGGGGGCAGAGAGAGAGAGAGGGGAGAGAGGCAAAGAGAGGGAAGTGGGAGGAGAAGGAAAGGGAGAAAATGTGAACTCTGACTGGCACAGATCTGAGATGAGGCTGGGGCCGTCTCTCAGTGGTAGGACACAGGAATGAAACAGAAGCTGCCATAAAGGTCCTAGGCTATTTTGGTTTTTTGATGAGAGTCAACCAAGTAACTGATGAGAATGTGAAGTGGACAAGGGTGGCTAACTAGTGACATCCCATGCAGTCTAGATCTAATGACGGAGGTTCAGGTAGTTTCAGAGAGATTCTGTTTGGTTTTGGGAAGGAGTCGGAAGCCAAATCTCCCGTTCAGACAGCTCCTTTCCCGGCTCTCACGCTTCTACGAAGTTCCAAGGTCTGTCCTGCCATGACCTTGACCATCCAACCTTTCCATGTTGATTTTCCAAGAACTTCCTCAGCTCTGACATCACGGGGCTACCTCCTGAGTAGATCAGTCACTGTGCTCACTCATTCTCCACAGACGCTCACAGACATGACTTCCTGTGACTCCAGCTCCAAGGGATCCGAGACACATACATGCGCGCAAAAGAGACATATACATGCAGGCCAAAACAGCCACACACAGCTGGGCGGTGGCACATGCCTGTCATCCCAGCACTCGGGGAGGCAGAGGCAGGTGGAACTCTGTGCATTGGAGGCCAGCCTGGTCTACAAAGCCAGTGCAGGACAGCCAAGGCCACACAGAGAAACCCTGTCTCAAAACAAAACCAAACAGAAAAGAACAAAACAAATACCCATACACATAAAACAAACAATAAATAAATAAATAAAAGAGATGCCATTCTGCCTAGCCAAGATCCTTAAAATATTCTCCCTCCCAAGTGTGGCCAGAGGCCAGGACAGTTTACTTCATCCAAGTATAGGTGACAGGCCTCTTGGGTCTATGGCTTTAGCCTCCATATTTCATCAACTTGCCCATTCGTGATGTGAGATAAAGACCTGTCTCAGAAGTGACATAAAGGCAGAATTTAACAGTGCCGGGCGGCAGTGGTGCACGCCTTTAATCGCAGCACTTGAAGAGAGAGAGGCAGGTGCATCTCTGTGAGTTTGAGGCCAGCCTGGTCTACAGAGTGAGTTCTGGGACAGACAGAGAAACCCTGTCTCAAACAAACAAACAAACAAAACAAACCAGCATGAAGGTGGAAAAGCACATACTTTGGGGCTGGGGCTGGGGCTCAGCAGTAGAGCAACTGCCAAATATGTCCAAAGCCCTAGGTTTGATCCAAGCACAACAAAAGGGTACATCAGGCCGAAGGAGCCATCACTGTGGAGGGCTGCGGTGACCCCACACACCTACACTTGCCTAGGGGAAGCCTGACCCGCTCCTCACTTTCAGACAAGGCAGCTGAGGCCCAGTGAAGCAGAGCTTTACACAATGTCGTCCACCACGGCAGAGCAGAGAGGCACAGACCCGGCGCGTTTCTTAGTCTGGAGATTGTATAAGCAGCAAGCTGGCCTGGGGTCCTGCAAGAGCCATGGTTCGCAATCTGTGGTCATGACCCCTTTGGGATCGAATGACCTTTTCACAGGGGTCACCTAAGATAATCGGAAAACACGGATATTTACATTATAGTTCATAATAGCAGCAAAAATACAGTTATGAAGTTAACAACAAAAATACTTTTCCGATGGGGTCAGCACAACAAGAACTTTATTAAATTAAGTGTAGAGAAAACTGTGCTGGAGGCTGCCTTCCCCCCCCCCCCCTTATTCTGAACTCAGGATTCTGTCCTCTGCTCATCTTGCTCCCCACATCGTTACTGGAGCTGAGTGTCTTTGGCTGGGACCAATATGGCCCTTGGGATTAGGTGCACCACTGACCTAAGCGCCTACCAAGTGAGCATTGGAGGAACGGAGCTCCGGGCCTACACACAGCAGAGCTGAGGGAGTTTGAGGCAGCCTAGGCTATCCTCTATTCCCAGGGAGGCTGAGCTCTGCCCACCGGCCACCAACAAAGAGGCAGGCTGCTGGGGCTTAAAGGAACCTCCTTCTTCATCAAGATCTGAAGCCAGGGAAAGCTGTGTGAAGGGGCGCGATGACCGGCGACTGTAAAGCCTGAATTTAAGTCACACCACGGTGCCTCTTCCCTCCGACCTCTGCAACGGGCACTGCTACTTCTCCAATGGCAGCTATCCCAAGGGATTAAGTAAAATACTTAAATATTACCGTACGTCCTAGGCAGTGCGTCTATTTTCATTCATTTAGATCCAGAGTCCTCCATTTAAACTGTCTGGGCAAAGAGGGGCCTAACGGAAGCAGCTGAGGATGGGAAGAAGTTGACGCCCCAGTAACCAGAACAATTTTAGACTTGCCAGACTGCGGCAGGGGGGTGCGGGGAGCTCTGGGGTAGATCATTGTTGCAGCAGGAGAAGCTTACACCTTCCTGGCCTGGAGGGCGGAGCAGCCGCAGGTAGGAGTATAGGTTTGGCGGTGGGAAGTTGAGGGCGTTCCCGTGCAACCACCTTTTGTGCGGGAGGCCAAAGAAAGGGCAGAGTGTTTGGCAAAGTAAGGGGCGAGGAAACGCCTGTGAGTTACTGAAACCTTCCTAACCCTTAGGGTTGGTTGCGGGTGGATGAGGTTTTATCCCTTCAAAGCTCGGAGAGCGCGGAGAATCCGGCCCGCAGAGGGCGCGAGAGCCACGCACACAGACCGCCCGGAGGAGCGGGGCGCGGAGGGTAGAGATTAGAGGCCTCCAGGACCTAGAGAGTAGGTGGGGGTCGAGGCAGCTGGGGAAACGGCGAGGGGAGCTGCGTGTGGGGGTCCTGAGAGGTGGGCCTTCTGCAGCAGCGTCCGGTGGGTTGAGGGACAGCCCGAGAAGGACAGGCCACGGGGAGGTGGGGACTTAGGTGGAGCTTTTGGGAGAGTGAGGGGCGGGACGTGGGCGGGGTGCAGCGGGATTCGCCGCGGAAGGTTGGGGGCAGAGGGCGTGGTCTGAGCAAGGTGGGGCGCCCCGGGCGCTCGGGTGGGCCGGCCCCGCCCACGCCCCGCTGGGTCCCACCTCTTTTCCGGCCAGGGGAGTTTCTGCGCGTACCTGAGTATCGGTGTGGACCGGAGTTCGTGCCATGTTGCCCCTGCGGCAGAAGCCCCTGCACGCGAGAGGCCGAGCCGCGCTGGCCGCGGTCCGCGGAGTTGCCCCCTCTGCGAGCTCCTGAGTGTCCCAGCGGACTCCCCTGGAGGGTCGCTGCGGTCCACCAACGTTCGAGCATCTCGTTCCTCCTTCGGCTCCTCCTCACCCCCCCCCGTGTTCCCAGCCTCGCGCGCTCCCCGAGCCCACCCCCTCTTTTGGGCGCCAGGCTCCGCCCCCCGCCCCCTTTCCTCTGCCTCAAAGTTTATTTGCAACAAAAGGGAGCAGGGAGCGAGCGGCCTGGGGGAGGGAGAGGGAGCCGGAGCGGGAGCTGGAGGGGGAGGTAGGCCGGCCGCCGAGCCTCGCGGGCGGGCTTCGCGTGCAGGAACCGAGCCTCGGGCCCCCGCCGGCCGGGCCGCGATGCCCCCGGCCGCTCCCGCAGAGGCTGGGCCTGGGGTCGCCCAGGATGGAGCCGCCGCCTCCCGCGGCCGCAGAAACTTGATCCTCGACCGATAAAGCTGTGTTCAGGACTCGGCGCCCTCCTCCCGGCCGCCGCGCGCTGCGGGTGCGGGACCCCGGCTCCCGGACCGCGGCCACTGCGCGCCCTCGGAGCAGGGGCGCAGGGGGGGGTTGGCCGCGGCGTCCCGAGGCCGGCCCCCCCGGAGTGACTGCCGCCACCATGGCGGACGGGGCACCCCGGCCCCCACTGTATCGCAGCGTCTCGTTTAAACTGCTGGAGCGCTGGAGCGGCGGGCCCGGGCCGAGGGAGGAGACCGCGGACACCCCCGGGCTGCGGCGCCGAGCTTCGTGCCGGCCAGCCGCGGCAGCCCCGGGCCAGCCCTCCCGGCGCGTGTCCAAGCTGGCGTCGGGGCCCCCGGCCGCCCCCGCGCAGCCGCGCCCGCTCCGCAGCCTCTCGCCGTCCGTGCGCCAGCTCTCCCGGCGTTTCGCCGCGGCGCGTCTGGAGGACGACGCCGCCGGCGCCCGCGACGGCCGCTGCTCGCCCGGCTCCACCGAAGAAGCGACGGAGGGCGCCGAGCGCGGTGCCTGGCCCAGCGTCACCGAGATGCGCAAGCTCTTCGGCGGCCCGAGCTCCCGGCGACCCAGCGTGGACTCGGAGGCCCCGGGGACGACCAGCCCCGACGGGGCTTCGTGGGAGCCCCCGCTTCGCGAGCCCCGGCAGCCTCCGACGCCACCTCCGCGAACGTGCTTCCCGCTGGCCGGCCTGCGTTCGGCGCGGCCGCTGTCCGGGCCGGGGGCCGAGGGGAGGCGGCGTCGGCAGCACCAACAACAGGAGCGGGCGCAGCGTCCGGCGGATGGTTTACATTCTTGGCATAGCTTCTCCCAACCGCAGGCAGGGGCCCGGGCCTCCTCCTCCTCCTCCTCCGTTGCCTCCTCCTATCCTGTCAGCCGGGCTCCCAGTTCCAGCGAGGAGGAAGAGGAGGGACCGCGGCCGCAACTTGGGCCTCAGAGCCCGGCCTACCTCGGCGGCCACTCTTCCGGCAGTGACGAGGACCCAGACGGTGAGGATGGCCGTCGGTGGCGAGGGAGAGGGCTCAGGCCCGAAAGCTCTCCGCTGGTTCACGGCTGCAGCCAGGACAGTGACGAGCTAAATCCGGGGACCTCGGGATCAGCAGGGGGTGTCAGGAGCCCCGAACCTCCCCCGTCTCCAAGAACCTCTATAGAGGAGGGACTCCGAGAGTTGGGTGCTGGCACGCAGCCTGGCGTCCCAGGTCCCCAGGAGAGCTTAAGGCCAATGTCCGACACTGGGGGGGCACCTTTCCGCGTGGCCAAGGTGAGCTTTCCCGCCTACCTGGCCAGCCCGGCTGGCTCGAGAGGCAGTAGCCGCTATTCCAGCACTGAGACCCTCAAGGATGACGATATGTGGTCCAGCCGCAGTTCTGTGAGCTGGGGTGTATATCGCTCCCCAAGTTTTGGAACCGGAGATGGGCTCCTTCTGCGGCCGCAGACTAGGTCCCGCGCTAAGGGACCTGTAGGCACCACTAGGCCGCCGAGGGACGGAGGGTTGGAGCTAGACAGGAACCGGCAGCGAAAGTCGCTGTCGAATCCAGACATCGCTTCCGAGACCCTGACGCTGCTCAGTTTCCTGCGCTCAGACCTTTCCGAGCTGAGGGTCCGAAAGCCCAGCGGGGGCCCAGGGAACAGCCCCCTAGATGGCAGAGCTTCACCGTCAGCAGGTAGCCCCATGGAGCAACCTGAGTCCATCCTGTCCCAGAGTCCAGCATCACCCACCACCCGACCCACCCTCAAGGACCTGACAGCTACCCTGCGCAGGGCCAAGTCATTCAGCTGCTCAGAGAAGCCCATGGCCCGGCGCCTGCTCCGCACCAGTGCCTTGAAACCCAGCTCCTCTGAGCTGCTCCTGGCAGGTTCTGGCACAGAGGAGGATCCGTTGCCACTCGTGGTCCAGGATCAGTATGTGCAGGAAGCCCGTCAGGTTTTTGAAAAGATACAGCGTATGGGTGCACAGCAGGACGATGGCAGTGAAGTCCGCCCTAGAAGCCCCGACTGGGCCGGGGACATGACCCAGGGGCAGCGGTCTCAGGAGGAGCTCTCTGGGCCTGAGTCCAGCCTGACAGATGAGGGCATTGGGGCAGACCCTGAGCCTCTTGGTGCTGCCTTTTGCAGCCTAGATCCTGGAGGGGTGTGGCGACCCCTTTCCTCAACCTCAGCTCAGACAAACCACCACCGAGGGGCTGGGACAGAAGACAGTCTGGGTGGGAGGGTCCTTGTGTGTCCCGAGACCCCTCTAACTCCAGGAGCCCTCCGCAGGAGACGCAAAGCCGCACCCTCAGGCCCTAGTGGAACTGAACTAAGCAACGGGGAGGCGAGTGAGGCCTACAGATCCCTGAGTGACCCTATTCCACAGCGCCATAGGGCTGCCTCCTCCGACGAGCCCTCCGGGTTCTCTGTGGACAGCAATCTTCTGGGCTCGCTGAACTCTAAGACAGGGCTTCCAGGGACCCCAACTATGGATGAGGGCCTGACCAGCGGCCACAGTGACTGGTCTGTGGCTAGCGAAGAGAACAAGGACTACCAAGAAGTCATTCAGAGTATAGTTCAGGGGCCTGGTGCCTTGGGGCGTATGGGAGAAGACAGAGTTGCTGGCAAGACCCCTAAGAAGAAATCTCTGAGTGACCCTAGTCGCCGTGGGGAGTTAGCTGGGCCTGGATTTGAGGGCCCGGGAGGGGAGCCCATTCGAGAGGTAGAACCCCTGCTGCCTCCATCCAACAGTGAACCTATCCTTGCAGAACAGTGGGCAAAGCCAGAAGACCCTGTCCCTGCCAGGGGCAGGGCACAGTCCGAGAGGGCTCTACCTGCCCCCTCCACTGCCCGCCATGACTTCCATCTTGACCCCAAGCTGGCAGATGTTCTCTCCCCTCGCCTCACCCGCAGAGGTTCCAAGAAGCGCCCAGCCCGGAGCAGTCACCAGGAGCTTCGGAGAGAGGAGGGCAGCCAGGACCAGGCTGGTAGCCTGACACAAGTCCGCTCTTCCTCCAAACATGTCCGCCATGCCAGTGTCCCTGCCACCTTCACACCTATTGTGCCCGAGCCTGGGACGCCTGTGGAACCCCCTGTGACGGTGCCAGAGCCTGTGGGCTTCCCTGCTAGAGGCCATCCCACCCTGCAGGCCCCATCGCTTGAGGATGTCACTAAGCAGTACATGCTGACCCTTCACTCTGCTGACGCCCCTGCCTCAGGTCCTGTGGACCTACCCTGCTTGCCTCCCTCTGCACCACCCTCTGCTGAGACCAAGCCCGCCGGGGCTGCCAAGGCCGCTCCAGATGAGCCTGCCCCAGCGAGCAAGTGCTGTAGCAAGCCTCAAGTGGTAAGTCCTTTGGAGAGGAGATTTGGGGCAGGGTTCAGAAGAGCCATGGGCACCAGCCGACAGGAGCTTTTGTGTGTACTCAGTGGCCCAAAGGTCCTTGTCCTGGACTAGCGTATGGCACCAGGCTCCTGTTAACCCAGGACCAGAAGAGGCTTCGGGATGCTGCCAGCCAGTGTCAAAGGGTCTGCTTGCCCCAAAGCGTTCTGGTGGTGCTCGCACAGGTCCTTGGGCTGTTTCTTCGGGACTTATTTCTGGGATTCCCGTGGTTCTTTGTTAGAAATGCACTGGAAGTGTGGGTGAGGGTGTTGCCATTCAGCCAAGGCTCCAGCCTCCATGCCCAGCTCTTCGCTGATCTCATTTCAGGTCACAGTTAACGTGTTCTTGCCTTTAGGTCTATTCCAAGGCCTAGGAGAAAAGTACCCGCTTCACTTTATGGAGCAGCATAGGCTCTCCGGGTCCAGCCCCAGCCTTGCTCTAGTTTTCTGACATTGGCCTTTCTTGTGACTTAACCTCTCCATCTATAAAACTGGGTCTGAGGGACGTTGTGGGGGCATTTCCACCCAGGTGGCATTGTGCAGAACTGGGAGAGCCTGTGTTGTGAGTATGGGTAGTCTATGGGACCAATGCCAACATGCCCCTTTTCGGTTAGAGGAGCTTCAGGCTGGAGTAGCTGGGGAAGTATGGTGACAGACAGGCTTCTTCTGAGGCTCCGCAGCAAAGCCCTTCAGAGGGCTTGAGAGCAGTTCTGGCCCCTGTGGCAGACAGGGCTGCCTCCATGAGTCAGGAAGATGCTCTGGACCCTCATCTTGCTGGCCTGCATCTGCTCACCTTCTCACTCCTTCCTGCCAATCCCAGGCCCCGGGGTCTCATTCCCACCCTCCACAAAACTCTTGCTTCTCTTATGCCTGGGTTTTGGCTATGCATTCCGGCTGACTCTAGGCAACATCTGCCCTGGCATGGGAGAGTTGCAACTAGGTTTGTAGCTCTGGGCTGGAAGCTGAGCCCAGGGATGGCCTGGGGTTATGTCAACTGTGGCCTGCCTCAGCTCCCACTGTGTTGCTGACTTCAGAAGCTGGGAAACCCTACACCCTGGACTAATTTGGTCACTTGGCTTCTCAGAGCTCTTAAGGGCTCCTCCAACTCCCTATCTCTGTCTCTCTCCCCTCCTTTCTACTTCCCGTGTCCCAGCTCTGTTCTTCCTTGTGGAGGTGACAGGGATGGACAGACAGGGAGTGAGCAGAGGGGACTTTAACACCTGGTTTTCCTTCTGAGACCCCATTAGGGGAGCCTGAGTACCAGAGCCAGTTTTATGCTTGAGGATGGAGTATCAGCTTGAGAAGGATACTATCCTTGAGAAGGAGTATCAGCTTCCTTTTTCATGTAATGGTTTCCTTTGGGAGTATAGTGGGAGTTGAGGGGCAGCCAGAAAATTAGGGAGTCTGGGGGACAGGCACTGAGACCAGGGAGGAAAGGTTTCTGCCCCCTTCACATTTTCCAGTGACCTCCTCGCCCGGGAGATATCATATGGAACAGTCCTCTCATGTACAGGCTTCTCTTGACCTGCAAGGGGCTTTCTCTGACATTTCAGGTTCTCCCACTTCTCCAGGCCCAGCTGATGCTCCCTCTCCTCCCTTAGAAGAGCAAAGGCTGAGTCTGTAATTAGAAGAGCCGGACTGGATGTCCCCAGGACCTGTACCATTCCTGTTATGTGGATTGCTCTCCTTTTCCATAAGATGGAGATAATGGGTGCCCAGAAGGCTCTCTAGGTAGATGCTGGTGTGACCATTTCCTCCCTGGGGGCAGGAGGGAGGACGGAACAGGCTCTACTGCCTCAGCGGCTTCTCAGTGACCTCCTCCCCCACTGCTGTCTAAGCTCAGGTCTCAGTAGCACCTGGTGGACTTTATTAGGCTCAGAAAGCATTTGCCATGCCTTGAGTTCCCCCATCCTCCCTACCTGCTCATTAAGCCTGGAAGTTCTTCCATCTGCTACTTTGAATCTCTTCTTGCTATTCCTTTCCTTCTGGCTTTAGAAAGATGGGGAGCAGCTGTGCACTCCCCCTTCCTGCTGACATTTCTTGAGCAGACACAATGTTCCCTTGTCTCAGGCTCGGGGCTCCAGTCACGATCTCTGCACTGTGGGTGGAGATGGTGTGTCTTGGCCTTCAGAATGAGGGGACAAGAGGAGTTCTCATGTTCTGATTATGGAGCATATACCAATGTAATGTGCTTAGAGGGAAGAACTGGGCTCTCAGAGAACCCAGACTGGATCTTGAGCAGTGGGGAGTTTCTTACAGGCATGTCTCCCTTAGCTCAGAACCTCCCACATTGAAGGGAGGCAGGAAACTTCAGTGTCAGGCAGCACTTAGCCTCTGGCTCTATGTGGGCCTGGACAGTCAATGTTAGGATTGGTTTTCCTATCTTTGCCCCCGGGGATTGGGCAGCCAGGTCTTGTGGCTCTGTGGGAGGGACTCAGGGCAGCCTGGATGAGGGAATGGGGAGAGTCACTGTAGCTAGAGGGAAAATCTGCTCTCTGGTAGCTCAGCCAGTGGGCCACCAAGGCTGTGGGCCTCTGATTTCTTCCAGTTAGCTCCATAGTTGCCACTGTGTGGTTGCACCAAGGCATTCCTCTGTGGGAATAGAGGAATCTTAGATAGTTCATTTCTTAAATAGTAATCTTAGTTCATTTCTTCTGCCTGGTACCCCTTCATGCTCGTTGCTTTTGTAGCCCAGAAACAGGTGCTGACTTACCTCTGAGAATTGTAGATGGCTGAATTCACGGGACTTTGGCGTATTGAAATAGCTATAACACCGGCTACTGTTCCTTGCATGCCCGTTTTGTGGCAGACACCAATGGTTTCCTGTCATGTGAAAGACTGCGTAGCTTACTGTTAGAGGTGCTCTGAATCCCAGCTTATCAGTGTCTCAAAGAGAAGTAATCAAGGGGTTGTTCCCAGTTTCCAAGTGAGACTGGCCTGTTACCTGAGAAGGGGCATGAGTGGGGAACAGTTGGGGCATCACTTACCGTTGTATTGTAACAGCCTGAATGTGTCCGTGGTGGGATTTAATTCCCCAGGGCCTGGTGTTGGGTAGGAAGGTGCTAGCCCAAGGTCATACAATAAAGCCAGGCCGAGCTGGACCCAAGCCCTAGGACCTCTGGCCTTGTTCCTCTCCCACTTACCAGCAGCCATGGCAGCTCGCCTCAGCCTACCCAGATGCCCCTGCCTTCTGCGGGGCCGGGCTGCAGCCCTTCCCACCACTTCTGTCTAGCTGGCTCCCCTCTGGCAGGGACTTGCAGAGGCAAGTTTCCCTTCTGCCCCTCCTTGGCTCTTTTGCTGTGATTCCCCCCCCCCCCAATGGAAACTGGGGAGGAGATGGGGTTCTAGGAGGACGTTTGGAATTCTGAACAGTACCAAATAGCTATAATTAATGTCTTGTCACCCAGCAGGAGGTTAGGATGGGGGAGGACTGGAAAAAGGGTTGTCCTTTCAGGGCTTATTTCCTGTCCCACCTTCTTTCTTAGGACCCTGTGGTATTGGGGGAAAGGGACGCTCTCCAGGAATGAGTCCACCCAGCAGGGAAGAGTTGGGGGAGGGACCAGAGTTGAATGTGACATTTTCCAGCCCAACATTTCTGGGACCAGCTGGATTTGAGACGCTGCAGCTAATCCTGTCCCCAGCCCCCTCTCCCAGTGTAGGGACTTGTCCCTCCTCCTTCCCTCCCTCCCATCTGATTGCTAGGGCTGCACATGCTTCCCAGCAGCAGGACGGGGCGCCATCCCTGGATGTTAGTCTGCGGGCTGGTAGAGGATGCTCTTGCGTCGAGGCCTTGGAAGCTGGGAGAGAGGACAGGGTTCTAGGAGGAGGGCATGGCATGAGCAGAGTCCAGGAGGAGGCTTTCCCAGGCAGGCTGTTGCAGTAGAAGTTTGATTTTAGCATCTGTGTCCTGAAAAGATAACTACCCACGTCTCTGGGGTCAGGCACCATTCTAGAGTGGAAAGACAGCAGCTGCCAAAGCAGAGGCCTGCTTTGTGGACCCTCCAGACTGGTGAGGACATGTGTCTACAAAGGAGGACACTGTCAGGGAACAGAAGGTGCGGGGGAGAGAAATAAAACAGGGTAAAGAAGTTGAAGATGACAGGTTGGGGTACTATTTTAGATCATGGGGTCTAGAGAGGCCTGTGAGAGGAGGTGGTAATGTCTGAGGCCCAGAAGAAGACAGGGAGGGAATCAGGTAACTTTCTCAGGGCTGGGGGTGGGGGGGGGCGTATTGTGGGAAGAAAAGGAACAGCAAATGCAAAAGTCCTGAGCAATGGACACTGGGTAGTATGCATAGGGTTGACTATTAGGAAGTCAGAGGTCAGAGAGTAAAAGGTCTGGACTTGGCATCTACCTGAAGTGAGGCTATGAGTGAGATAATGACCCAAGTTGTTGTGTGGGGCTAGATAGCAGAGTCCAGCATGGAAGCAGTGAGGCCATTCAGGAGGCCACAGAAGTAAGCGGTGATGCTCTCTCTGCTGGGCTAGGCAGACATCTGGAAGGAGATGTTTCAGCTGAAGCCCAAGGAGTCCAGACATGTAGTAACCAAGTAAACAAGGTGCTACTATCTGCCAGATGCAATGGTGCACGCCTTTTATCCCAGTGTTCAGGAGGCATGGGCAGGCAGATCTCCGTGAGTTCGAGAGCAGCCTACACAATGAGTTCCAAGCTAGACGGGCTTCTACAGTAAGACTCCATTTCAAAGAGAGATACCAGTGAAGCTAACCCTTCTAGTCCAGCAGCCGGCCAAGTGGGAGGCGGGTCACGAAGAGGGGTAGATGGCAGAGCTACCTGCTGCCCTGGGGGCCTTAGCTCAGAGGCTAAGAGGGCACCTCGGGCCCGTGGGCAGATGGTAGCACCACGCACGGCAGGTGTTCTCCGCGGGCAGAGTGGCCCCTCCCCAGTTCTAACTTGTATCTCCTGGAACGGGTAGTTTGTGCCAACCACAGCAGCCCTGGCCCTCTC